GAGGAGGCGCAGGCCATGGCGGCGCGCACGAGCGAGAGGATGGGCATCGCGCAGGGATCTCGGCCACTGCGTCGTCAGGTACCTATCGGAACGGCGCTACAGCGGTGATGGCCATGGGCGAGGCATTGCAGAACCTGCCGCAGACCCCCGTGTGTTGCAACCGCTAAAAAAAAGCTTCAAACTCTATATTAAAAAGCTTCAACTATATATACAGAAAGCTGCAAACCTTCAGTGCTATCGAAGAAAGCTACAACCGTCTACAGAAAATGCTACAACCTTTGACGAAAAAAGCTTCAACCAGTGCTGACGGTGGCGACCACGGCCTGACGGTGGTGACCACGGCCCGACGCTGGTGCTGCAACCAGTTTTTTTTTTTGCTACAACTAACCCTATTCTTTGCTACTAATGTCTTCGGATTTTGCTAGAAACAACCCATTTTTTTTTGCTACCGGCGTCTTGACTTTGCTGCAACCGGCGTCTGTTTTTTGCTTCCACCGTATCATGTTTTTGCTGGAACCGGTGTTTTCATGTGTTTTGGTTCCACCCTGTGCGAGTTTTTTTGCTGGAACCGATGCCTCATTTTCTTTTTTTTTGTTTCCATGGTGTGTTTGATTTGCTGGAATCGGCACTGGTTTTTGCTACCACCACTTTTTTGGTTGTAAGCGACGCGACTATGCCAGTTTTGATGCTGCAACCGGCGACGAGGATGGCCGGCTGCATCGGAGTTGTGCCACCGCACCGGAGCTGCGGTCGTCGCCATGGGGAGCTGCAACTGCGGGAGCAGGCTGCTGCATGCACGAAGACGGCGACGGCGACGGCGACCGACAGCGACGACGGCGACCGGCGACGAGGGCAGCGACGGCAACCTACAGCGACAGGCGACGAGGGCAGCGACGGCGACCGGCGACGAGGGCAGCGACGGCGACCGGCGACGAGGGCAGCGACGGCCGGAGAACGTGCGGGCGGTTCTTCAAGGCCAGGCGTGTTGTGCGGTGTTGTTTTGACGAAGACGCGGGCGAGAGGTGAACGAAGATGAAGATTAGATCGTAATCGAACGGTTATTAGTAGGCCCATCGGACGGCTGCGGGCTGACCGGCCCAACGGTTAGGCCGGTGCGCCGGCGCAGATCGCTCGCCTTTTAAAAAGGAGTACTTTGTTAGTAGCTAATAAAATGGGCTGGCAGGTTCGCTCGACTCCAGCACAAACATTTGGCTTCATAGCAGCGTACACACACATAACATGAGTAGTCCTTAGGGGTCCTCTACAAGACTACAACAGACCAGCTCACCTTCGCCGTCCTCCACCATGAATAGTGTGCTCATGCTTGTCCGCCTCCTCTTCCTAATTTGCCTTATTCTAGCAGCCAGCACCACCGGTGAGGCCGATGGCCAGCTCGTCTACTCCGGTTTCACCGGCGCCAACCTCACCCTCGACGGCGCGGCCACGGTGACCCCAGACGGCCTCCTAGAGCTCACCAACGGCACGGACCAGCAGAAGGGCCACGCCTTCTACCCGACTCCGGTGCGCTTCGCCGGGTCTCCCGGCGGTGCGGTGCAGTCCTTCTCCGCCTCCTTCGTGTTCGCCATCCAGTCCATCTACACGGACCTGAGCGCCCACGGCATGGCCTTCGTGGTGGCGTCGAGCACCAACTTCTCGTCCGCTCTGCCCGGACAGCTCCTGGGCCTCACCGACATCCAGAACAACGGCAACGGCAGCAACCACTTCTTCGCCGTGGAGCTCGACACCATCCAGAACAAAGAGTTCGACGACCTCAACGCGAACCACGCCGGGGCCAACGTCAACGGCCTCAGGTCGCTGCAGTCCTACTACGCCGGCTACTTCGATGACGAGGACGGTAACTTCCGCAACCTGAGCCTGATTAGCCGTGAGGCCATGCAGGTGTGGGTGGATTACGATCACAGGGTTGCACAAATCACCGTCACCATGGCTCCCATCAACGTACGCAGACCAGCAAAGCCGTTGTTCACGGCCACCCACAACCTCACGACCGCGGTGACAGACGTGGCATACGTCGGGTTCTCCTCGGCCACCGGCACGATCAACGTGCGGCACTATGTGCTTGGCTGGAGCTTCGCCATGAACGGCCCAGCTCCGGCCATCGACATCGCCAAGCTACCAAAGCTTCCGCGCATGGGGCCGAAGCCACGATCCAAGGTGCTGGACATAGTTTTGCCAATAGCATCCGGAGTGTTCGTCCTCACCTTGGGCACCATTGTTCTGCTGGTGCTACAGAGACGTTTCCGGTACGCCGAGCTGCGAGAAGATTGGGAGGTCGAGTTCGGTCCACAGCGGTTCTCGTACAAGGATCTGTACCGTGCAACAGAAGGTTTCAGCGACACGCACCTGCTAGGAATTGGAGGATTCGGGAGGGTGTACAAGGGCATCCTTCCAGTGTCTACTAGAATGGAGGTTGCTGTGAAGAAGGTTGCACACGACTCCAAGCAGGGCATCAAGGAATTCATCTCGGAGGTTGTGAGCATAGGACGTCTTCAACACCGCAATCTTGCGCCATTGCTTGGCTACTGCCGACAGAAAGGTGAATTGTTTCTGGTGTACGAGTACATGCCAAACGGGAGCGTTGACAAGTACTTGCACGGCAGAGAAGGCAAACCCATTTTGAATTGGGCTCAGAGGTGGCACATCATCAAAGGCATTGCATCATGCTTGGTCTACCTTCATGAAGAGTGGGAGAAAGCGGTCATCCACCGCGACATCAAAGCTAGTAACGTACTCCTCGATGGTGACATGAACGGAAGACTCGGCGACTTTGGCCTCGCAAGGTTGTACGACCACGACGCTGACCCGCAAACCACACATGTGGTGGGAACCATAGGATACCTTGCTCCCGAGCTTGGGCATACCAGCAAAGCAACCCCTCTTACTGACGTGTTTGCTTTTGGGGTGTTTGTTCTTGAAGTTGCCTGTGGGCAAAGGCCAGTAAATCCAAATTTAGAGGACATCCAAGTATTGTTGGTCGAATCGGTGGTCGACCAGTGGAACAAGGGATCGCTCCTTGATGCCGTGGATAAGCAGCTTGGGGGCAACTACAACGCCGATGAGGCATGTGTGGCTCTAAAGCTAGGCCTACTATGCTCTCACCCATTCGCCAATGCAAGGCCTACTATGCGGCAGGTGTTGCAGTACCTTGACGGGGACATGCCATTGCCAGAGATGTCACCGACGGATTTGAGTTTTCAGATGATGACCATAATGCAGAACGAAGGATTTGACCAGTTCATCATGACATATCCGTCATCAACAGTGAGTATTGACAGCACATGCGTCCTTACAGTTGGGAGGTGAATTGCATGATCCTCACTGTGATACGTGACTGAGTCATTGTGTCTTCTTAGTGCCTGGTTAATTCGAGCTTTGTGTTCTTTTTGCTTATCACTTTTGTACGATGTAATGGATGTTTGATACTCTAATCTTAACAAATATGATGTGTGCACCTCTGATGCAGAGGCGGGGTAAAACCGTCATTTTGAAGAAGAAAAAAGCTATATCCTTCATTACACCAACATATAAGTGCATACATAATGTAAAGAAAAACATATGCATATATCGAGTATACTTGTTAGCAAAATACATGTATTTATTGGCCAGAATTATATGGACAACACATATAATTACTGCCCTTCTGACTAATTCTAAAAAATGAATATTTGGTCATATTTTATTCAAAATAACTAGCTTAGTTTCTTTGTTAAAAGATCCAACAAATATGGCTTTCTATAGGTTGAGGTGATGACATTTGGTACATTTTTACAATAACAGGGATATATTAATAGCAAGAAGATACCACTTATATCCGGCCTCTGCATCAACACAATATCGAAAGCTAGACAAGACACTGAGAATGAACAAAACCAAATTATTAAAAATTTTAAAAAATTGCATGGCTCACGCATCAACACGCAACAAAACCAACCACGGACTTTGGCAACACAGACATGGAATCTTGAAACCACCTCACAAAGTTGATTTCGTCCAATGCTAGTCTTAGTGGACCGACCCATCTCTCTCCTCCCTCTGCTTTCACATTTTTCCTCCCATACTTTACCCAAAACTGCAGCCATGCTACCGGGTCGCCATGGGTTAGCCACAGAGAGAGAAATAGCTGTCGCGGTAGACTTTAGACTTTTATCAGAGACAACCTATTCCGCAGGCACCCATTTGACTCTACAAACAACACATCCATCAGTCTGGGAGCATCCAACCCGACATGGAGACGTGCGCGAGGTAGGTGTCCACGGTGTAGCGATGGCCCGGTCCTTGGTGTTGTGCGGATGTGGATGCCCTTATTGTAGAGGATGAAGAAAACTCTAGGCCATATTTACTTGTGCGGTGCATGCCTACCCCGGACCACCTCAGGTTGAGCACAAAAGTCCAACACATGTACACTCCGGTACTTGGCCTATGCAGACCGCTAGCTAGAGAACGACGGCGGGATTGACGATGACGAATCATGCATACCCAGTCGTTGAAGAGGACTATTCAGACTTATCACCAACAGAAGTGCCAACAGAAAGATGTACTAGTGTACACATGCTATTCTACTTTCTGGTTTGATATTCTACTTTCGGAGTCGGAGGGGGAACTGTAACCACGTGTGTACGTGCTGCCTAGTGGTTGCCGTCTGAATCAGTCTGATTTAGACAATTCCGGAAATATGTTCAGACTTCAGCGTCGATCGGGAGACGAACTTTCAGTATCTAAGGAAGAAAATTGAACCTGTTGGACCAGCTTCCCGTTCGATTGCACCCGCAGATGGTGATGTATCCTCTCTTGCGAGTTAGCAAAATTACTGAATTTTATGGATTTAACTCTCAGTAGTACTAGTACATCGGTCGCGAAAATCATGGGCAGTTGTTTGCTACTGACGGGCGCACATACAGCAGTACTACTTAGATAGCCACACCGGTAGTTGTTTATCAACAACAAAATATCATAATCTTTTCCTTGCCAGTGCTCGAGACATGGCTCCGAGGGAGCACATCTTCTTCCTCCTACACGCCATTCCACTCCTCTTCCTTCTTCACCTTGCTGCATCCACAACCAGCAACGACAGTTTCAGCTTCCTATACAATGGCTTCTCGGGTGTCAACCTCACCCTCGACGGCAACGCCAACGTCACGCCGGATGGGCTCCTCGAGCTCACCAACGACACCATCAACCTCGGCCACGCCTTCTACCCGACCCCGCTGAGCCTGCGCGGGTCGCCCAACGGCACGGTGCGGTCCTTCTCCCTCAGCTTCGCGTTCGCCATCCTCTCCGTCCACGAGGGCATCAGCGCCGACGGCATGGCCTTCTTCGTCGCCCCCACCAAGAACCTCTCCAACACGTGGGCGCAGTACATGGGCCTCCTCAACAGCGGCAACAACGGCAACGCCAGCAACCACATGTTCGCCGTCGAGCTCGACACCACCCAGAACGAGGAGTTCCAAGACATGGACAACAACCACGTCGGCATCGACATCAACAGCCTCACCTCCTTGCAGGCCTACCGCACCGGGTACTACGATGAAGGGAGCGGATCCTTCAACAACCTGACCCTTATCAGTGGCAAGGCGATGCAGGTATGGGCTGACTATGATGGGGAGTCCACGCAGATCAACGTGTTCTTGGCTCCTCTCGGATTCGCTAAGCCGGAGAGGCCACTGCTTTCGTCCCCCTATAACCTCTCCACAGTTCTGAGAGAACCATCGTACATCGGCTTCGCAGCCACAACCGGCGCAATCAGCACAATCCACTGCGTTCTCGGCTGGAGCTTTGCCATTAATGGCCCTGCTCCTGCCATTGACACATCCAAGCTCCCAAAGCTACCACGTCTTGGTCCAGAGCCGCGCTCCAAGGTCCTGGAGATCACCCTGCCTATTGCCACGGCCATGTTCGTCCTTGTAGTGGGAACTGTTATCATTCTGGTTGTTCGCAAAAGATTCAGGTACAGGGAGCTGCGGGAAGACTGGGAGGTCGATTTCGGGCCACATCGGTTCTCCTTCAAGGACCTGTTCCATGCAACCGAAGGGTTCAAGGAAAAGAACCTGCTTGGTGTGGGCGGGTTCGGCAAGGTATACAAAGGGACACTCCGAAAGTCCAAACTGAAAGTGGCGGTGAAGAGAGTGTCTCACGAGTCAAGGCAAGGGATGAAGGAGTTCATCGCGGAGGTTGTCAGTATCGGCCGGCTCAGACACCGCAACCTTGTGCCCCTGCTTGGTTATTGCCGACGTAAAGGTGAACTTCTTTTGGTTTATGACTACATGTCAAATGGTAGCCTCAATCAGTATCTGTACTGTGAAGATGGCAAGCCATCACTGAATTGGGAGGAGAGGTTCCATATTATCAAGGGCGTCGCATTCGGCTTGTTCTACCTTCACGAGAAGTGGGAGAAAGTTGTCATACACCGAGACGTTAAGCCGAGCAACGTGCTTCTGGACAGTGAAATGAATGCAAGACTAGGTGACTTTGGTCTCTCAAGGCTGTACGACCATGGCACTGATCCACAAACCACACATATGGTTGGAACCATGGGATACCTGGCGCCTGAGTACGTCCACACGGGCAAGGCATCCACTCTGACGGACATGTTTGCATTCGGCATATTTCTCCTTGAGGTCACTTCTGGGCAGAGGCCTATCAAGCAGAACCCATTTGGCAACAAACATACATTGGTTGACTGGGTTATAGAGCGCTGGCACAACGGATCGCTCATGGAGACTGTGGATCCGAGACTGCGGGGTGACTACAACATCGATGATGCATCTTTGGTGCTGAAGCTAGGGCTTCTATGCTCGCACCCTTTTACTAGCGCAAGGCCCACAATGCGACATGTCATGCAGTACCTCGAAGGTGATACACCACTCCCAGAGCTAACACCAGCACATTTCAGCTTCACTATGCAGGCCTTGACGCAAAACAGAGGATTGGAATCACCAAATGTGCAGTATCCTCAGTTATCGACGAGTTTTGCCACTTTTTCCAGCCTCTCAGGAGGAAGATAACACATGCATATACGGTGTTTGGTGTTATTGTGTCTCTTCAGATGTTAAAATATCTGCTTTCTTTCTTGCGTATTTAGTCTGGATAGATACTATATTCTAATGTATTCGAACGCTAGCTAGGGAGTATATCAAAGATTTACTTCACTTCAAATGTTACTCTGTATGTCTATGTTCAGCTTAATTACTCATGGAGTTAATTAATCAATCTTCTGTATCTTCTACATGGTTCCAGTCTGAATGTAGTACATGTGAATTCATGAATTTTACACGAAGTTTCTGTTTGTGCTTGTTTGGAATTCCTCTGAGAAACAACGAGGGTTCACTAACTGAATGGATTACATCGGCTTGTAAGTTGTCTGTAACATCATGGCCTTTGGGTCAGTTTGAGTACTATATATAGGTGGCAGTGGCGTAGCTTAAAAGAAATCTTAGGAGGGGCGAAGCTACAACTTATTAGGACTGCCCCAAATCGTACGGATTGAATTAATTGTACTTCAAGTGTCGATCTTGTGCACCATAAACTTTGCAATTCTACAAAAGGGTCTGCGTAAGGCCTGCTTCAAATCTGCTCGCCACACATCATCACTTTGATTAGGTGGATATTGCCAAATATGTGGACATAGTGTTGGAATTCAATCCGTCAGAATAAGACTTCAATTGTTTGAGTTTGATGCCATTGTTCTTTATGAGTTTGATGTTCAAACTGGAGTAACAAGAGAGGAGGCCGAGCATTCATTAGCTCCACATTCACCTCTATTTCTTTTGTATAAAATGAATCAACAGTATATTAGCATTTCGCTTGACCATCGCTAGCTTCGGTTCCTGTTTAGTGCAAAATCTCTGACCTAATCAGGATCCCCCACCCCCTACTAATTAAGATGCAGCGGGAAACTAGGTATGGGACTGGATAAAATTACCGACTGGGGAGGGAGAGTGGATGCTCTTGCTGCTCACCGCGGGTAGCGCCGGCGTCGCCCTGATGCTGAGCGCGGCCGCGACGAGGCGTTGAGGCCTCTGGCCATCTGACGGACTGGAGAACGGACGCCGGCCGGGGGTTTCCCGCCGTCCCCCACGCCCGAACGCATCTGCCGCGGCCCCAGCCGGACCCCGTTCCCCAACGCAAGTCCGCGCGAGAGGCGAGACGAGAAGAACAGACCTTTTTTTTCTTCTTAGATAGATGGAGAAGAACAATGGTCGCTGCTGGCTGCCTGGATGATGAAATCCTATCCGGCGCCTATAGCGCCCCGTTGCAAACCATACGCGGCAAATACATCAAAAAATATTTTTACTTTTATTTTATCATTTTAAATTTTCATAATTTTATTTTCAAATTCGTGATATTTTTTGAAACTTCATGAAAAAAATTCAAATTCATGGTTTTTGGAAATCCGTGAATTATTTTCAAAATCATGAACTTTTCTAAATTAGGATTATTTTCTCAAATTTGTGAACTTTTTCAATTTCACAAGAATTTTTACAAATCTGTGAACATTTTTTTCAGAATCTTGGATTTTTTCCAAAAGTCAACGGTCAACTATTGACTGAGTGAACGAAGCAGGGTGGCGGCGACCGAGAGAGCAAGCACGTTAGCATTCCGCGTATATGGGCCAGCTCACGGCAACGAGCGTGTGAGCGTCGATTCGCTGTGCGACGTGTGAAGCATTGAGTAGGAGCTCTCGCCTGGCTGGCCACCTTAGTAGCATTTTTTTAGTAGACAAATGGGCCTTATTAGTTATGGGTTGCAATACTATTACACAGGGTACTAAAAATGTTTCGTTTTTTTTGGGGCCTACGACCCAGGTGTCCCCGTGAAGCTCCGGCACTAAGGGCCTGTTCTGAAGTCCTCTGGCTCCGCTTCACAAACGCTATGTGCGGAGTCGAGCCGAACGATTCTAGCTCGAGAAGCTAGCTTTAAGAAGCTGTGCTAGATCCTAGTGTAATAAGCGTGGAGTTGAGAAGTTGGGAAATAGCAGCTTCACGGAATGCTCCAAAACATGGAGTTGGCTAAAATTACATGGTTTGCCACCGCGAAGTGAACAAAATGTTTCGGTTATTCTCTCTCCTCCTTTCTTTCCTTGTGAAAACTAGCTCGTGGCTCTTTCCTCGTACAGAAACACGTCTCTCCTTCTTCCCTAAAAAACACGTCTCTCCTTCTTTTGTGGGCTGCATGCTTGGCCCATGGCACGATTTCATCTAGCCCAATATGCCGCTACCAGCCCACTGTGGCGACAGAGAAGCTGTTTTCGCTGCCGAACGGACGTGAATCGCTGCGTGGAGTGAGAAGCTGGATTGGGAAGCTGGATTTTTGGAGTTGGGAGAGTTGGGAGGACTTGAGGTCAATCGCTCTGAAACGGTATATCACGTCTCTGGAACAGTCTTCATGATAGGCTCCAGCCTCCATTGGTTTTTAAGCTACCTGTAGTTGAGGTAAACTGAGTATATTGTAAAATGTACTGGTGGGTCGAATTAGGATGCATTGTGATAACTGCTTGCTCCCACAGAAGTTGTTGGGATTCGCTAAAGTGTAAGGGTGAACTAACCCAATAGAAAATATTTCTCTCAGTTAGAGAATCAAGATTATCAATCCAGTAGGAGATTCTCCCAGTAAACAAAGTAAGCAGTACCTGCACACAAAACAAGTTGTCCCAACACATCAAGAGGGTTGTCAATGAAGGAAATATGCGCTAGAGGCAATAATAAAGTTGTTATTTTATATTTCCTTATATCATGTTAAATGTTTATTATTCATGCTAGAATTGTATTAACCGGAAACTTGATACATGTGTGAATACATAGACAAAACACTGTGTCCCTAGTATGCCTCTACTAGACTAGCTCGTTGATCAAAGATGGTTAAGTTTCCTAGCCATGGACATGAGTTGACATTTGATGAGCGGGATCACATCATTAGTGGAATGATGTGATGAACAAGACGACCCATCCGTTAGCTTATCATAATGATCGTTCAGTTTTATTGCTACTGCTTTCTTCATGTCAAATACATATTCCTCCGGCTATGAGATTATGCAACTCTCGGACACCGGAGGAATGCCTTATGTGCTATCAAACGTCACAACATAACTGGATGATTATAAAGATGCTCTACAGGTATCTCCGAAGGTGTTTGTTGGGTTGGCATAGATCGAGATTAGGATTTGTCACTCCGAGTATCGGAGAGGTATCTCTGGGCCCTCCGGTAATGCACATCATATGAAGCCTTGCAAGCAATGTGACTAATGAGTTAATTGCAGGATGATGCATTACGAAACGAGTAAAGAGACTTGTCGGTAACGAGATTGAACTAGGTATGAAGATACTGACAATCGAATCTTGGGCAAGTAACACACCGATGACAAAGGAATAATGTATGTTGACATTGCGGTTCGACTGATAAAGATCTTCGTAGAATATGTGGGAACCAATATGAGCATCCAGGTTCCGCTATTGGTTATTGACCGGAGAGGTGTATCGGTCATGTCTACATAGTTCTCGAACCCGTAGGGTCCGCACGCTTAACGTTTGATGACGATATGTATTATATGAGTTATGTGTTTTGGTGATCGGATGTAGTTCGGAGTCCCGGATGAGATCACAGACATGACGAGGAGTCTCGAAATGGTCGAGAGGTAAAGATTGATATATTGGAAGGTGGTATTCGGACACCGGAATTGTTTCGGAGTGTTTCGGGTATTTATCGAAGTACTGAGGGGTTATCGGAACCTCCCGGGGGAAGTAATGGGCCATATGGGGGTGGCGCGTGCCCCCCATGGGAAGTCGGAATTGGACAAGGGGAGGGGGCGTGACCCCCCTTTCCTTCTCCCTCTCTCTCTCCTTCCCCCTTTCCCCCTCCGATAGAAGGAAGGGGGGCGAATAGGACTAGGAGTCCAAGTAGGATTCCTCCCCACTTGGGGTGCGCCCTAGGCATGCCTCCTCTCCCTCCCTCCTTTATATACGGGGGCGCCCCTATGAGACACACCAATTGCTCTTAGCCGTGTGCGGCACCCCCCTCCACAGTTTCCTCCGGTCATATTCTCGCGGTGCTTAGGCGAAGCACTGCGCGGATCACATCGCCATCACTGTCACCATGCTATCGTGCTGACAGAACTCATCTACTCCTTCGACCCTCTGCTAGATCAAGAGCTTGAGGGACGTCATCGCGCTAAACGTGTGCAGAACTCAGAGGTGTCGTACATACGGTACTCGATCGGTCGGAACGAGAAGATGTTCGACTACATCAACCGCGTTGAGCAAACGCTTCCGCTTTCGGTCTATGAGGGTACGTGGACACACTCTCCCCCTCTCATTTCTATGCATCTCCTAGATAGATTTTGCGTGAGCGTAGGATTTTTTTTGAAATTGCATGCTACGTTTCCCAACAGTGGCATCAGAGCCAGGTATATGCATAGATGATATGCACGACTAGAACACAAAGAGTTGTGGGCGGTGATCGTAATACTGCTTACCACCAATGTCTTATTTTGATTCGGCGGTATTGTTGGATGAAGTGGCCCAGACCAACCTTACATGACCATGTTCATGAGACCGGTTCCACCGACAGACATGCAACTAGTTTTGCATAAAGGTGGCTGGCGGGTGTCTGTTTCTCCAACTTTAGTTGAATCAAATTTGACTGCGGCCGGTCCTTGTGAAGGTTAAAACAACAAACTTGATAAATCACCGCTGTGGTTTTTGTGCCGTAGGTAGGTACGGTTCTTGTTAGAATCCAGTAGCAGCCACGTAAAACTTGCAACAACAAAGTAGAGGACGTCTAACTTGTTTTTGCAGGGCATGTTGTGATGTGATATGGTCAAGACATGATGTGATATACGTTGTTGTATGAGATGATCATGTTTTGCAAAAGTTATCGGCAACTGGCAGGAGCCATATGGTTGTCGCTTTATTGTATGAAATACACATGCCATGTAATTGCTTTACTTTATCACTAAGCGGTAGCAATAGTCGTAGAAGCAATAGTTGGCGAGACGACCAAGACACTACGA